AATATTTATATTTTATGAATTATTAAAATATTATTATTTTTTTTTTTAATAAAATATTAATAAAGAAAAAGGAAATACATTTACAATTGATTGAATGTCAACTAAGAAGTTCTAAGAAGATAAGCTATTCAATCAGAATCATACGATTCTCTAAATAGCAAAATATAAATTAAGTTACACATAAGAGAAGAAAAGAAGAAATTCAATTACTTCATATATGAAAGCAAACAGATTTCTATTCATCCAATGGAACAAAGGCGAGTGAGAGTGTGTATATATATATGACTTTGTAGAATTCGTAATTAGTTAACATGAAAGTTCATAGAATAGTAACAAATAATGGAAACACAATTGTTCCATCATCTACTACACTTTAATCATTGGAAAAATAGAAAAAAATACAAAGCCAACAATGTCACTTCACTTATATTAACATTCTCTTAAAAATGTAATATAACATCATGAAAATACAATTTAATCAAAAATATTTTATTTTATATAAGTACTTTCAATAACTCAATTTTCCTATGTAAATCTATTGAACATTTTGATAGTTCTAAAACGCGATATATCGAAAAATATTAATTTATAAAATAGCATATATATGCAATTGTAATAAATTATAATATCATATAAAATTTCGTATAAAATTATTGATGTACATAATATTTTATATAAAAATTGTAATATTAATAAATTTTCATCAAAAATAAATATCATTTTTTTTCTAACAATAAAAAATGTAAAATAACTATTTAGAAAGAAAAAATTAATGCACTTACCCAATCTAAGGGCAGCAATCTGTACGACACCGGCTAGGACTAAAATCAACGGAAATCCATCAAAAAACGACAGATTTTTCTTCCTAAAAGTATTTCTGGAAGCGCATTTACCGAAGAAGAGCGTGCGTGGCCGGCATGGCCCCACAGCCACTGCCATCGCACTGTCCTTCTCACCGTACACTATACAATATTTCAATTTTTATTTTCACTATTCGACTAACACTACGATTTTTATAATACACTGACTAAGATCGAAACTGTAAGCTTCTGAATGCACTTTAATCGGTATTAGAAAATAGCGTATATGATATTTATTAAAAAACAAAAATGTTTGAAACAATGAATTAAAATAAAGTTTCTCTTTTACACGAGGATTAAAAGTATTGATCTCAATAAATTTATTATGTCAGAAAAAATCTGTTACGCGTGCGTGCTCTTCTTGAAAAGCAAACACGGTTTTAAAAACTGAAAGAAAACGAAGAAAAAAAAAAAAAGAATGCGAAAAAGCACGAATGTCTCTCGAATTCAATTCATGGCTCACACACAACATTTGTACGGTCGCGGTCAGCGAACGACTAACTCTAAGGCGCGCATATACACTGAATAGTGGAATTCCGGCTCAAGACGGATGCTACTGCGCATGTCCAAAAAGGAATTCTAAGGACCACGTGTGGCAAATTCTCTACTAAAACAGTACAGTATTTGACTAGCGAATATCTGTGAACGCTGTGACATGGATATTTAATACAACATAAAAGTAGTCATTATTAGAAATAATCAATTAGTAGTCATGTTAGATTGATTTTTTTTATATATTTAATAATAATTTTTTTTAAATTAAATATATCTATATTTTTTTTTATATATCCTAAAATAGAATTTTAAAAGATAAATTATTAATTACTATAATAGTTTATTTTTAAATAAAATTTTCTTATAATAATTTTATCTTATTTCCAAAACTAAATAACATTCAAAAAAAAATTGTCTTTCTATTCTTTGAAAAGAAACAATGCAGAGAACAAAGGTAAACAGAAAAAATTTACCTGACCTCACATTTGTTTTAGAATTCTCCTAAGTTTTTTCTATTAATAGACTTGAAATATTCCAGATTTACATCTGCATTTATTTTTTCAATTCTTTTAAGTTAAAATATTTTAAAATTAAGTAATTTTATCTGCTTATTATTCTTATAGTAAAACATTTTTAAAAATATTATATTAAAATTTCAAATATTTTTTAAATATTATAATATTAATTTATATTTTTCAATTAAATTTAAGTAATGATAAAATTATTTTTGAATTAAAAAATCATAAAAATCAAATAATATATAAAAATATAATAATAATATCTAAAATAACTTTGTATTTATAAGTAAAAACGAAGATCAACTACATGACGGCAGAATTAATTGGGAGCGGCATGTGTTCGAGAGGGAAACCTGCAATTTGTCCTTACATATACTGTTTGTGAATGAATTTGTATGGCGTAAACTCGTGCCACCCGTGCCACTCGTGCCGTGCTATTTGAAAGAATGATACGTTGCTAATTCCATTTTTTTACAAATGTTTATTAGTTAAAGCAAATGACAGAATACATGTTCAATTTTTCTTATTGTCTGCAGCATATAAATATCCGCATTCTTTTTTTAAATTGAATTTATATACTATTAATTTTTTATATAAAAATTACATATAAAAAATCATATCTCAATAAACTTTCATTCGTCACTAAAATTTTTCAAAATTAGAATATATATTAATGTAAAGTTAAATTTTCAATTAAAAATAAATAATTATTTTTGTCTTATTTAGTATCTTAACTTAATCTATTAATGTAATTATAGCAACATCCTGTTTATTTTTTTTTTTAAGATGAATATAATTTTTATAGGATTTAAATTATATTTAAATAATCTCAGAAATTGAGTTCATAAAAATTTATTTTTGGTAAAAACATGACATTTCTATTATGATGTAAGTATGTTCTTTCACCTGTTATTTTGCTGTTCATTGGTTGCAGACTTCGCCAGAGCAACACAATAAAAAGTCTCTCCTCTTCTCGCATTGATTCTCTTCCTCCATGTATATGGGCATACGAGTCGTGACCTTGTGGCATTTGGTACCTGTCCGTACCAGTTGGCGCATGACTACGTCTGACGTGTATAATAATGGACACAATTACAGTAATAAATTACTAATTTCCCTAAACTTCTCATTGAATGAAAAAGAAATCTGTATTTTTATTCCCTTGATTGTGTTCAATTCTATACAAATATCTATATAGGTTTGTGAATAAGTAATATGTGAATATATACATATATGTATTTGCATTGAATTCAAGCAATAATTATAAACAAATATAATTACAAATATTAATTATAAATAAATCTAATAATAATAACTAATAAAAATAAATATTTTTTTTGACATGGTAGAAATAAAGATAATTATTTTCATATTTCATAAATTTAAAGACTAGTGTTCAATGATATAAATTTTTCTTTAATGTGACTTACTTATAAAATTTGTTCTTAGAATATTTTAAACAATACTATGATTTCATAATTATTAAAAAAAATATATTATCTAAAAAAGGTTAATTAAAGAATGTAAAACAATATTAGATAATAACTGAAATAATATTTATAACAAATTAATCATAATATCTGTAATACAATATTAGAATACAACTAATAAAATTAATAATATTTTTACGTTTCTATACTTTAAATATATTATTTACTTACTACCTTAGACATTTTAAATAATATTTTAATAAGATTATAAATAAAATATATATCTATTATACATTGCTTTCTATAATTATTTTAATTTTTTTCAAACTTTTTATTGAAGATTAATTCTCTTCTTGTTCATAATAGAATATTTAATCGAGTTTAAAATTATTATATATGTTATAATAAGAACATTCAATCTACAAAAAATAATTATCAAATGTCAAAGGTATAAGTTTCCCCATTTGAGTTTCTCACAAATATTTTTATATTTACTTGTAATATCTTATTAATATTTGTTAAGTCACTTTCGAACGCCAAGTATTTTCCGACAATTCCCTTCGAATTATTATATTATCAATGCTAAATCTTAATTCGAATATTAAACATTCGAAATTACTGATTATCTACGATTGTGGTACTGTCAGTTTCAAATTTATTGAAAAAAAAATATGTAATTATAAAAATAAGGTAATTGTTCAGTTAATTTTTATCTCTTCCTTTAATTATATTCGCAATTATTTTTTTTTAGTAAAAAATATGTACGTTTTTACAGAATAAGTAAAGATATATAAGATATAACATAGAATTATTATTATGAAACATAAATATAATTAAAAAAAAATTATTTAAAAATTAAATTTATTTAATTATTTAAAAATATTTTTTTTTAACAATGAATCTTTTTTAATATAGTTGTATAAGATTAATTCATAATATATCAATCTGGCTGCACCACTAACTTGCATATTTTTATGCCTGTTCACGGAACAGAGTCAATATATATAAAAGATTAAGTACATTATGTTTACGAACTTTACAAATATAAAATTAATTAATTAAAAAAATAAATTGTGTCAATAAACTATTTTTTAATTAAGAAACAAAATTAAAATAAAATCATTAGAAATAAAAATAAAAATACAAAGTTTAATTATTAATTAATAGATTATAATATTCACAAATTAATTTTGTATAACGTGAATTTTTTTAATATTTAGAAATATGATTAAAAATATAAATAAAATTAAATATCATATTATAGTTGACTATATTACTTGATACTATTTTAAATTATAAATTGGTCCATTTAAGAATAGAAAATAAGATTGAAAAATATCTATATCTGAGTTAAATGAAATAACAATTATCATAAGAAAAGTACATATCACATATTAAAAGTGATGTTTTCGTTATTAATATTTGAAAGCGTTTGGAAATCTGAAAATTATTAAAAATTCCAATTTTACATCTTAAATGATAAAATATCATGACTCCATTTCGTGAACAAAATATATATGTAAGTACAAATTTTCTAGACATCTTATTATGCAAAAATGATAGAAAATTTGTATTATCTGTATTATGTTCTTATGAACAGGAAATAGATATTCACCACTTCGCATATATATTCTATATTGAATCTCTTTGTTTTCCTGAATAAAGAGTATAGAATACTTCATCAGTCGTGTTTTTTTTTTCTTTCTTCATGAGGAAATAGATTAGGATTAAAGATCGGCCCAAGCGTGGGTTTGAAAGGTTAACGGAACGTTTTTTTTTCCTTCATTTCTACATCTTTATAATTTTGTCCACAGGACAAAAAGAGATCTATTGAATGTTCTGACCTTTCAAACTCGCGCTCAGACCGACGTTACTCAGCCAGGCATTTTACGATTTATAATACTCATTTCACAAGCAATCTGCTTATTTTCCCGATCAAGCATTAAAGTTCTAGCGCTGAGAAATGAAAGATCTGGTAAATGATTTAATACTCTTGCTGTTTCTGACTGAATCGGCATTACTCGACCAAATCTATCCATAACCACGTGTTCAGATCCAGATCTCTTATTCGCGAACTTTCCGCGATAAATGTCTCCCAAAATTGATTTATCAGAAGATAAATATTGCTTATCATTTGATAGAAACTGTTTTTCAATTGGTACAAATTGTTTTTCAGACGCATACTGTTTCTCGATTGTTGATAGAAATTGCTTTTCCATTGATTGTTTCTCCAATGGAATATTTCTTTGAATACTTTTTTGTTTATGTCCTATATCAAATTCAGTTTTTTTCTTCCATTCTGATGCACGAGGGGTTGGCAAAGGCTCGATCATTTTTGAAGATTGTGGACATTTTTGTAATTTTGCAATATCACTTTCCAAAGAATCTATCATTTCCACTTTTGATGTTGAATTGCACCGTTCCCGATTTATTTCTGGGATATCTGTCGTTTTATAAAACATTTTTTTTTATAAAACATTTTCTTGATTTCAAATACAGAAGGATAATGACGATAAAGGCATGCAGTAAGAAAACTAATATTTCTAATTACAAGACACAGAATAAAAATACAAGCCTAAAACTTACGATGATTAATAGGATTCCTTGCACTACTCGGTCGACGATAGGATTCAGAATTGGTGGAGTTATGGGATGTTAATAGAGGATCAAAAGGACATAAAAAGTCCAGAGGTAGAAGAGCAGATAACCCACCACCTAGATTATATGATTTATGAAAGAATATTCCCAGCAATTAGCACATAATAAATAAAATAATTGCAAAAGCGTACATATTAAAATAAGCACTGAAGTATTTTAAAATTAAAATATAATGATGTAAGAGAAAATATATAATAAAATATCTAATATTTAAATTTTTGATATCAAAAGTTGTAATATATTTATATAAACATAAATTGCCCAAAATACTTACTAGCTTCTAAAGGATTAACAAGCCCAGAACTATTCCAATCGAATTGAGCTGCAGGTACTTCCTAATAAAATTATATCATTATTAATTATTATTTAACTATATTATTGATACAGTATTTTTTAAATAAATTAAAAGAGATTACTCATAATTAACAAGGATAGGAAATTGAGATAGGAAAATTATGTTTAAATTGATATAATATAAAACTTCAATGATTGATATTTATAGTTTTGTGAAAATTGATTTTAAAAAATTAATTATTGATTTTAAAAAAATATTAATTAATAGAAAATGTGTCCATTTATCCAAAATACAAAAATTATTATATTTTGAAACTTACTTCTGAATTATTTGAAACTGGAATTTTATTGGTATTTGACAAAGCAACTGGTTGAGGATCAATTATAGCTTTAATTGGTTCTAGTGGAGTAAAACCAAGATTTGCAGCAAATCTTGGAACATTGGGATTCCATCTTGGTCCAAATAACTATAAATATTTAAATTTAACATTCAATTGATTATGAAATAATATATGTAAATAAATGTTACTTACAATATTGCGAGAATCAATGCCAAGAGAATTTAAAAGTATATTATTACTGGAACTGTTTGCCCATTGATATGTCAAAGCATTTGTTTCTTCAACATTTTTTATACTTTCCCAAACTTTATCTGTCTTATTTATCAATGACTGTATTTCAATTTCACATTGTTCCAATTCCACAGAGAACATTGTAGTTATTATGTCTTCTATTTTGTTAGCAGCCTAAAAAAAATTTATAATAATCTCTAATATTTAATTAGATGAAAAATAAAGAAAATAAAATAAAGAAAATAAAATGAAAAATGAAAAAACTCACACTTTTATTTTCTATTCGACAAATTGAGTCTCTTATATTGATTTGTGATTGCTCTATTATAGACTGTTCAAATGCTGTTTCAAAATCATTAAAATCTCCAAAATCATCATCATCATTTTTTATATCAGATACATTTGTTTGACCAAGTTCTTTAAATTGTGTATATTCAGAAAAATTGGTAAAATCACCAAAATCATCATCTTGAAGCGTTTCTTCTTTTTTTTCATTAATTTCTACAGTATTTTCTGAAAATTCCTGACTCATAGTAATAGAGGATTCCAATATAGAATCATACTTGAAGTTACCAAATTCTTCATTAGAACACTTAGAAATATCTGGCAGTGATGTAGAAGATAAAAAATCATTTCCAATTTTAATATCTTTATTTTGAGAAAAGTGAAGATCTTTAGCAATTTCATTTTCTATTTGATTACTCTGAGAAAACTCATTCTTTGAATCATCAAATTTTGAATTATTAACTTCAAATGTAAAATCATCTGTTTTGTTGGATATATCTATATTTTGTACACACTTATCTTCCAATATTGACTTTTCAATAATATTTTCCAAATTCAAATTTGAATCTTTTTTAATTTCTATATTAAAATCTTTATTTAAATTATTTACATTACTCAAAGTATCTTGGAATTTAAAGTAATCAGTTTTTGAAATAGATGTATCACTCTTAGAGATCCAATTTTTTGAAGCCACAAACTGTTCATAATTAAAAAAATCATCATTTATTGATTGTATTATATCAGGAGCAATACTCGGATCTTCTAAATCTAAAGATAAAGGTTCTATATTTTCTAAATTATTGACAGAGGTTTCTTGTTCGCTTTCTCTAAAATTATTGCTTTCCTTAGATAAATTAATTCCATTAGAAACCTTTCTTTCTATAATAACTTCCTTATTATTATTGTTTACATTTTCCAAGTTTTTTTTACTATTATCTTCTATTATTTCATCAAAATTTTCAATTTCTGTTTTGAGTTTGATTTTATTTACAGTATCATTAATTTTTTCAAGTATTAGAAGATCTTCTGTAATTATTTGTTTTGGAACAATTGGAATAATTGTTTGTGAATTTTTAGGATTTTCTGAAATACCATTTACTTTTGGTGAAGTATTTTGTGATGTTAAAGGTGTTTGAATTGGTGTAATAAGTTTATGTGGTGAATCTGATGATACAGATAACCCTATAATGTAAATATTAATACATAAGATAAAGATATTCTCCAAGAAGTGCTATAATTACCATCTATGCCTCCAGTTGTAAAATCACCAAATTCATCTTCTTCAGAATCTCCAAAAGTATCTAAAGGAGGAGGTGTAGAACTAACTAGCGGAGGAAATGCCATTCTTCATTGGAATCCTTTTAAGAAAAAATTATTTATATTTGTATTATTTGTAAAAATTACAAATGATTTTCAATTTATGTAAAATATTTATTTTTTAATGTAGTAATAATAATAAAATAAAATTTAAAATTCTTTTCTTTATTTCCATTCTCGAAATAAAAAAATTATAAATATTATTTTTTTTGAAATATAACTAAAGTATTTTTAAAAAAATAAATACATAAAATTTATGTCTTTATAATGATAATATACATATGTCAAATTTAATTAGGTTAGGTATGTGTCATTGACGAATGAGTTTATTAAATAAAATATTTTAAAGAAACATTGATCAAGTTTAATTGTATACTTTATTTTATCATAATATCTAGATCGGAAACAGAATCAATGAATATTTGAATCAAAATTAAAAATATGACTGAATATAGACTTACGAAAAAAATATCAGGTACGTGAAGCACCTTAAGAAATGACTTTATCTGTAGTTCGTCATCATTTCAATTTTATTAAAATCAATCTTTATATGTATGCAATCTTTATCTATATCAATCGTAACTCATTAGAACCGTAAGGTTCTCTCATACGAATCACGAGACATCAGTCGTATCACCTGTTCTGTACGAGTTGCATCTGCGCACCTGTTTGTGCTTGTCATCGCGCCTATTTTTAAAGAAATACAAATTTAGAACATTTTATTATCATTATTTAATAATGTTTTTCACTTTATCTTATGAATTTAATATTCTCATAATCTTAAAATAATAATTTTTTAAAAAAATTCATTATTTATAATTTTTTAATAGTATGATTTTTAATAGTATCATTATCATTATGAAGCTTTTATTTACATTTTATTAACTATAACATAACATCATGTATGAAAATTATTAATTACAACGAAAAATTACAACAAAATATTTAAATTAAACTATTTAATAATTGTTTTAATTCTTAACCTATTTTGCATCTTGTTTAGCAATATGTTGTGTTCGTCTGTGTTTTCTCATATCTCCTTTCTGTCTAAAACATCTTCCACAAACATCACAAGCATGTGGTTTTTCACCAGTATGAATTTTTATATGATTATTTAAAGCTTCTGTCCTAGTAAATGCTTTTTCACAATAATGACACTTATATCTGCGATCTCCTCTATGTATTAGTCTATGTTGGTAAAATACAGAACCAGTTAAGAATGCTTTGTTACAAACATCACATTTGAATGGTCGTTCTCTTGTATGTTTTTTTCTAGTATGATCAGCTAGATCTGGCTTTATTGTGAATCTCTGATCACAATATTCACAAGCATAAGGTTTCACACCCATATGGAATCTTTTATGAGTCCACATATGACTGGATTGAGTATAACTTTTACCGCAAATATTACAAACATACCTATACAAGAATAAAAAAATTATAAATTGCAAAATTTAACATAACCTAAAATAAAAAGAATTGTATGTACGGTCGTAGTCCACTGTGTCTTCTTTTGTGCGCATTCAAAGAATTTGCTGTTGGTAAAAGACTACCGCAAATATCACATGGGAATTTAGAGCATCTGTATTTTCCATGTTCTTGAAAATCTTCAATACTTATAAAAATACTTCCACAAAGTTCACAAATGAATTTTTCTTTACCTTTTTCTGATTTTCTAGGTACTGGTTGATGTCTTTTCTGTTTATGCTTATAAAGCAAAGATAATTCTTTAACATCTCTGTCACATATTTCACACAAAAACACTACTAGAACTTTGAATATTCTTGGATGTTCTTTCCAATGAAGAACAGCTTCTGCGAAGGATTTGAATATAGAGTTGCAATGATTGCAAGAATATGGTTTCTCAATAACATGTGATTCTCTATGACTTTTTAAATGATCCATATCTGCAAAGTGACTGCTGCAAAATTCACAATGATATAGCTTCAATACTTGCATTTCTTCTATAAGACTAATTTTATCTTCATGTTTTTTACAATGCTCATCTGCAGATTCACAACTTCCAAATGTTTCACCACAACAAATGCATCTTAAATTATAAAAAATAAATTATGTTAATGAAGAAAATAATATAAGAACAAATATATACCTCCAAATAGTTTGACTGTTTTCAAAAATAATACTGTGTCCAGCTATATGTTTATTCAATCTTGATTTTTGTGTGAAGCTTTTAGAACATTCTGGACATTTATATGGCTTTTCTGGAAGATGAGTTACTATGTGACGTTTCAAAGTATAGCCATCACAGAATCCCTTAGAACAAACTTCACATACATGTGGTCTTGTTTTTCCATCCACACAAATATGTTTTTTTAATCCTTCTTGATTTTCAAATAATTTTCCACATTGTAAGCAAGATACTCTACCATCTTTACAATGATATCTGCAAATAAAATGCAAATAAATTCATAGTCATTAGATTTCTCATGACTATTCTATTTTTAAAGTTAATACCTTTTATAATGATAAAATAATTTTAATTCCTTTCCAAATGTAATTTTGCAAATTTCACAATATAATGCTTTTGCATCTTTATGAAAATGTTGATGAAATTGTAACCGTTCCTCAAATGTAAAAGTTGCAAAACAAATATCACATTTATAAGGCTTAGAAGTACATTGTAAATTAGGTTTGCATTTGTGTTCATCCAAAGTTTCTTTTGTATGATATAAATTCATACAAGCTCCACATTTCAAATATTTTTGTTTAGTACCCAAACAGAATAATGTTATGGATTCATTTTCTGGTTCTTCATCAATTTTAATTTCATTGGGAATTTGTTCCTCATCACTACTCTCAAGAACAATATCACTATCATATAATTCAACATCTTTTTTAGTTTCTTTATCCTCTTCATAAATTCTCATTCGTCCTTCAATACATAATGGACAAGAATCTATATTTTCCTGAGAATTTTCCTGACAATCATTTTTAGTATTATTGAAAGAATGTTTTTGTTTTAAAATTTCAAAAAGAGTTTCTTCAGCTCTGATACACTGAATATCAAATTCATTACACCAAGTTATTTTTTCAACACAAGTTGGACAAAGTTGTTTTGGAAGAGGATCTGTTTTCTTTACCTATGAAAAAATCATAATGTTCATAGTTATTCAATGTTCATATTTAATAATATTTGTTATTTTAAAAATATATATATAACAAAAAATTTCAATTAATAAAAAACAAATTTTTTTTACTTATTAAAATATTAACGTAGTTATCGGAATATCGTATTAATTAAATATTTCTAATTTATTTGTAATTTACTTATAATATATTTATATAATTTTCATTACAAAAAGATTCAATAAATAATTACCTTAATACTTAAACAAGTATTTATTTTATGCAAAAGTCTCAAAGATTCACCGAATTCGGAGTAAATATAAATCGGATGTAAAGTTTCTCCCGCGCATAAACGGCATAAAGATTTTAATTGATTTTGTTTTTCAGGATCTGGAGTTAATTCTAAAATTTCATTCGATGAAAGTGGTTCCTCTTGGGACCAAATAATTGATCCTTCAAATTCATCGAGATCATCTTCATGTTCGCTCAATGTACTAATTGACTCCGTTTTTCCACAGTTCATTATTAGATATTTACCAATTCTTTATCTAAAAAGTTAATAACTATTTTTTTTAAATATTAAAAGTTAAATAATGAATTTTTATTTAAATTATTTGAAGTATCATATCAAATATGATATAGATTCTATAATAATATTTTTTTTATATAAATGTATATAAAAATTAAAATATTTTTATCATTTATAATTTTTTCTATTTCTTCGTATACCATATAAAAAGTTATTTTTATTTTTCAAATCCTTTTTTAATAAATTTTTTAATAAATTGATCTCTAAATATAATCTTTTAAATATCACATTTTTATAATTAAACAGTTATATTACAATCTTCTAGTTCAAATAAATTTTTGTTATTAAAAATTATTGTTACGCCATAAGATTACTATTAAATAATTAGAAAAAAAAATGATAGTTTCAGTTAGTCTTGTCTTCGCAAGTATAGTGTATTATCGAAAGTATTTCAGAGCAGATTACCTCGTTCCTTGGAAATGAAAAGGGAAGAATTCTTTCATGGCAAACTAAACTTGAGTCTTTGTATCGTCGAAACAATTCGATAGGGAGTCTAATCTTTAGTTTCCGGTAAACACGCTGTCACGACGACCAGAACAAAAGCGAATCTCAAAAAAATTTTTGAGTTTCATAATTATATTTTTAACATTAAAAATTTATTTTTTTCTTCATTTAACATTTCAAATATAAATTTTGTAATAATTTTCAAATTATTACAAATAAAATGCTATTATATAAAATTTAAAAAATAAAATAACAATAAGAAATGGAATAATGGAAATATATTTTACAATAGTATTGACTACACATAAAAATATGTATCATTTACAAATTATTATAAAACTTATAAAAAAAATATATAAAATTATATGTTTAACTTCTTTGTACAATGAAACAATTTATTATGCAATCTTTTTGTTTTATTACTTAATTTAAAACTTAAGCAATTATTTTTTTGTTAATATTACATATCGCAAGTCGTTTTTTATCCTATGTTCTCTTAATCTTTTGCAATGTCGTAAAACTGTTATTAGATTTAATTTTATTTTATTTAATTTAGATTTCATTTGTTTTTCATAATCTTCACCAGTAAAAAAATATATGTATTCTGAAACATAATTTTTATATTTTTTTAAATAAAATATATGAAATTTGAATATATGAAAAAAAAAATCTTACCAGAATCATTACATAAATCTAATTCTTGTTTTTTATAGTGCAAATAAAGATTCAAATCTCCTTGTTTTCTTGCATGAGCTTTTCCCAGTGATAAAAATGTATATTTTGTTTTTAATATGTGATTAATAGTATTTATGAAATCATTTACAGTTTCTAAAGATTGTCTTCCAATAATATACTTTGGAACTTTATTAAATTCATCTTCACTTATCAAAGATATCATAGGACAAACTTCAAGTTCGTTAAATAATATTTTTTTACAGTCTTTTATTGGAGTCTTTTCTTTTTCTACATTTTTATTTCTTATTATTATAGGTGATTTCTGTATAAACTCTTTCTTGCATATAGTTTTCATTGATAAAGAATTTTCAATTTTATTATAATCACGAATTAATTCATGTGGAATATTTCTTTCCATATGAATAATTCTCTTATCCAAAGTTTCAATGAATGACAATAATTCCTAAAATTTTCAGTTTTTTCATTAAAATTTAATTGATTTTTAGAAACAATAATATTTTGAAAAATATTTATTAAAGAATATATTATGTTATATTTATAAATTAAGAAACATACTCTACATTGATTATTTTGTTTTTTCATATCAACTAATTTTTTCCTTATCTGTTCAATACCATTACACATTTGTGAAAGTACTATACGCATTTTAAGGAATTCTTCTTTAATTGCATTTTTACCTGAATATAAAAAATTATATAGATAAAAAATTATATCTATTTTTTAATAGAATGTTTTGATAAAATAATTTAAAAATTAAAATATAATCTTACTTTTAATAAATATTGTCGCAGTTTTAAGATCTTGTAATTTTTCACACTGTTTTTCTAAAATATCTTCCAGTGAGGTTGTCATTTTCAAATAATTATCGTTTT